TGGTAACAAAAACAAAACGAGCAGAAGGGCAGGATTTGTTACGTCCCTGTCTATTGGCTGGTGGCAATCTTAGGGCTTGTGCTGTAGTCCCTGAAAGTGTTATTCAGTTCATTATTCATTCACTCAATAAATACTGGTTACATACCAGACACTCAAACTTCAAGTAATAAGCAAAACAGCGTTCTCAAGGTACTTCCATTTTAGTTGGGATACAGATAACAATTCATCAAAAATCAGCATGTAACATAATATCAGGCCACAGTAAAAGTAGGTAGCAGGATATAGGGATTAGAGCAACTGGAGAGAGTAACAAGGGGAGTGGTTAGGAGGCCAACCCCAAGGAAGTGGGAAATGAGCAGAGCTATTTGAAGGAACAATGAAGGAACAGACCGTGCAAGCAGCTGGGAGAAGGGCCCAGGCAGAGGAAACTGCAGGTGCAAAGGCCCTGGGGCAGAGAATGAGGAGGTGAAGTGGCTGATGCGGGTGGATGGGGAAGGAGATGTGTGACGGAAGGAGGGGGGGCCAGGGGCAGTGCCCTGCAACCGGAGCAAGAACTCTGGGCGTGTTTCTTAGGTGCAACAGAAAGACGGGTTGTGAACAGATTGGAATCTGACTGATATTTTAAAAGGATGAAATCCCAACATGCAAACCTCTGAAAGGCCGCGTGACGTGAGCCAGGACGCTCCTGCGGTGCTGCCAGGGGGTTGGGGGTGAATTTGATCAGCATATCAGCAGGGAAGACATTAGGAACATATTTTTAAGTTTTTCCTTATGGGTTAAATGGGACACTTATCAGCTGTTTTTCTTTTCTTTTATTTCCATTTCTCCCTATCTTTCCTACCTGCCCCTTCCCCTTTTTCTCTTTGGTTTTCTTTTGTCTTCAGCCTGTTCAGCAAACTCGGAGTTCTTGTCAGGCATAGGACCTCACTGTTTGGTAAGGAGACCCCTGGACAAGCACCCGCACGCCCTCACGGGGCGGCGCCCGTGCATGGGGCGGTTTCTGAGGATGCCGACTAGGGGTCAGACGTCCCCCCAGGCTGCGGATACAGCAATAAGCCCTCAAAGAGCTGAGCAGTTTGGGCCAGAATGAGATGTTAACCCAGGGACATCACCAGAGAGGAGGAGCAGGTGCAGGAGCCGTGAGCATCACAGGCAGCAGAGGCCTCGGGAGCGGGGAGGTGGCCTGAGAGAGCAGTGTCTGGCTGGAACTCTGAAGGAGGGGCAGCTGCCTCCATGGTGGGGATGAGGGACCGGCAAGTGAATGGACTATAGGGGACCCTGTGCCAGTCGGCAATGACAGTACGTGCCGGGACCTGGGCAGAAAGGGAATCCACACAGTCAAGGAGCAGAGAGAGGCCCCTGAGGCTAGAGCACAGGGAACCAGCAACTTGCTCAGGGATGCAAATGGAGGCCACAGGAGCCGGACTAGGGACCAGGCAGGTGGCCAGATGAAGAATTCTGGTCTTTATTCTAAAGAAATGGGAAGCCACTGGATGAGTAGGCGTGCACAGGAGGCTGTGTTCTGGGAAGACCGGGTGGTCTGCGGGGATTCAGAGAGAACACAGTGCTCCCTGGCGGCAGGAGAAACATGACACGCCTGCAGGTGGCCCGGGGAACTGGCATGTAAGAAATCATTTCTGTCCCCACCTCCTGGAGAACGCCCTGCACACACGGACGTACGGTGCTTTGCTGAGTGACGTCAGGAAGGCATTGGGTTTATTTTCATAAGGAAACGTGAAGCCTTAAGAAGTGGTGCTGTGCCCCGTGCCACCATCGCTGCCCTCGCAGCCCGACCCCGCCTCCACTAAAGCCGCTGAAAGGCTGCCCTGGGCTGGAATGCGAGGGGTCTGTCTTCTCTAACTGCCTGGAAATCAGGGATGAGAGTTCCTGGGCAGCCGTGGGGGGCGGGGGGGGGGTTAGGGCAGGGGATGGGATTAAAGGCACTCGCTACTCAGTCACCAATGGGTCATCAGTATGAACTTACAACCACTAGCGAGCATTCCAGAGTCCAACAGCCAAGCCTATATGTACACAAGATGCTACTTTTCCATTATTTTCCCCATAAACCGTTTTAATGGATACATGAGAACTACTGCTCTGTGGAAAATGAGGCCTATCCCCCTTGTTAAAACCTTACCTTTTTTTAATATAAAAATAATGGCATGAAAACACTAATGTCTTTGATTCTTAGAGAGTGTGCTTCAAAAGATAGGAAATATTTGGATTAAAGATAAACTGTATTAAGTCCAAGTTTTAGGCTTCCTCACTCTATAGATTAGAGATACCTCTCGCCCTGCCCAGTCTGGCTTTGCTGGTTTGATTCCCCTTCAGGGCACACACCCAGGGTGCGGGCTCCATCCCCAGTCGGGGGCGTGCAGGAGGCAGCCAAACAATGATTCTCTCGCATCATTGATGTTTCTCTCTTTCCCCCTTCCGCTCTCTAAAATGCAATAAAAAAAATTTTTTTAAAGAAAAGCATTTCAAATCCAGGAGAGACTGGTAGATGTAACTACCATTTGGCATCCAATTTGGATAAATATTCCATTACTTATCAAACTAACTCACGACAGGCACTGCCACTAGCTCACCACAAGCGCCACCAACAGACAAGAGTCTGGTCCCCTGGGTTTTTTTTTTAAAGCTCCCCTTGGTCTCAATTGCACTTTTCTCACTCATTTCATGAGTTAGGAACATGGCTCTCTCTACACTTCACCTTTGCTCAAAGACAAAGCCAGAGAATTATTTGTCAACTTTCCGTCCTGCCTGGAACCTCTTCCAGGTGAAAGCTGTGCGGTTACAGCTCACCTGGCACTTGAACACTCATCACCCAGCACTGGACTGATACGTGCCAGAGCTCTAAGACTAGGCTACTTATTTTAGTCTGGTTCAAAAATAAAAACCGAAGTTCAGAGACAGCAAGTCCTTGTCCAGATCAGTCCGTTGGCTTAGTTACACATATAGGACTTGCACCTGGGTTTTCTGGCTCAAAGCCCACAACGTTCTCTCCAGAACACCATGAGTGCCTGCGCCAGGTTATAGCTGCGTCCTCTGAAGGTTACGTGTCTAATGGAGGTGGGTAGGGGGGTGAGGACATCTGTAATAATGTCAACAATAAAAATAAAGTTAAACCAAGAGGGCACCTACAGGTGCTTCGGCATGGAGTTATTGGGTGCAGGGGTCAACTCCATCCCCCAGGACTCAGGGGAGTGTGTGAGGAACTCTCAGCTATGTCAGCAATTCCCCGACAGCTTCCATAAGGCACCCTGGTTACACATGCTCTGCGAGTGTGAGGGAGTGGGCTCCCGAGTGTGAGGGTTGATAATGCGGTGTCAAAAAAACCCAGAAAAGCTTTCAGTAGCTATTAAAGAAATAAACACAGATTAAAAATAAAGTGTTTAAATATATGTGTATATGTTTAAAAAACAAAGAATAATGTTTACATGTCTTAGACTTCAAGATTCTAATAACTGGACATGTCTATATTGTAGTATGTTTGGCCTCTTGGAGTTTGTGTTATTTTACAGGAAAATGCCAAAGCAAATTTGAACCAACAACAGATATCAAAATAATATAAAGAATTCACAAAAATATGGTGTTGAAGAACAGTTACATAGTAGCTCTCCAAAACGTTCCTGTTAAAAATTTTTTTAAAATGGGTACAGACACAGGTGACATTTCACAAGCTATGGCACCAGGCTGTCCCGAACACTTGTGTACTTGGCTGCCTGTGTGGAATACCTCAAAAATTATCAAAAGGAAGTTACAGAGAGATAACCCAGGAAACCAAGCGTTTCCTATAGGTAATAAGTTAGAAGCCACGTAACGGCAGTATTATGCTCATTCATAAGAATGCATAAAAGTGCAGCTGAGCCCTGGCCGAGTGGCTCACTTGGTTGGAGCGTCATCCATACACCGAAAGGTTGCAGGTTTGATTCACGGTCAGGGCACACAACCAGGTTGCCGGTTTGATCCCAGATTAGGGTGAGTACCGGAGGCAACCAATTGATGTTTCTCTCTCCTCTCTCTCTCTCTCTCAACATACCCTTGGGTTAGGATGAACAAAAACAGTGCAGCTAGAAACCTTGTCCTTATCAAGCTCTATATGAGGTCACACTCCCTAAAGACAAACGGAAGATGTTGGAATCCACTGTTATTGTGAGAAGGCGCAGGAGTACATGAACATTCTGTATGAAATGTTTCTCGGTTGAAGAGAAGTCCAACCAAAGTTATCTCCTGGGAATTATGCAGAAGATAATGTCCACCCTGCCCTGGTGGCTCACCGGTTAGAGTGTCATCCCCGGTTTGATCCCTGGTCAGAGCACCTACAAGAATCAACCACTGAATGCATACATACTAGTAAGTGGGACAACACATCAGTGTTTCTCTCTCTCTTTCTCTTCCCTTCCCCTCTCTCTCTATAATCAATTTAAAAAAAAAAGAAAATGATTTCCACATTAATTTTGGGTAACTGAAACATTAATGCAAAAATTGAGGCGATCTATATGAGATATAACTTATAATAACTAAACTTAAGAACACCAAATATTGGATGCAATTATAATAGAAACCAAATATGTCAAGTAATTATATTCAGAAACTATCATTTCTCAAAAAATTTAATGTTTAGAACTTACAAGTTATTTGTGTGTATTTATGTATGTACACACACACACACATATATATACCTATTCCTCAGTTATTCACTGTGCCCTTGATAGAACCCTTAGTTTTCCCTGTAAGTGGAGTTAAGTGATAGCACCTTTTTCAGTGCACTGAATGTCCTGTTACCGAGGTCACCCTAACTCTGCTTTGAAAGCTCACCTATGGAGCTCGCGTGTACTTGGCCGGCTGATGACAGCAGATGGAGGGAAGCCCACTCGGCTAGCCAGCCGTGCGGAGTCCCCTCAGCAAGGACACGGGGGAGGGAGTGGCCGCCCTGCACGCAGTGGAGGCAGGTGCCAGGAATGTGGACTTCAGCTCGGGGAACTCAGAAACCAACAGAAACTGACTATGGGCCGAGCGGTGCTAGGAAAGTCACTTTGGCAAAGTGAATCCTTGGCCTCGCTGTCTACTCTGAGGCTCTGTCTGAAAGGCAGTCGGCATGCACATCGGTGATCCAGAGCATTAAACTGAAGTGCAGGGAAAATTTTTTCACCTATAACAGCTCATTACTGAATCGATCCGAGATCAGCAAACACGCATTCAAGGTCTCTGTTCTGCTGCTCTGGTATAAACATGGCACGCACTGTTGTCCCCAGTCCCTTGCTCTGTAATGGTACAACCTTTGGGTTTTCACGTGAACAGTGGATGAGTATAAAAAGCTGGTCTCCCATTTCACCACAGGGCAGGCTCCTGAGGAAGGACCTGCAGGCCCGGGGCCAGGCCCAGGACGAGCACATGCAGCCATGCCCACGTGCGCGCATGCAACACCGCACACCACACAGTGCTGACGCGAAGGACCCAGTGAGGCCATGCGGGTGCTTGTCCAGGGGTCTCCTTACCAAACAGTGAGATCCTATGCCTGACAAGAACTCCGAGTTTGCAGAACAGGCTGAAGACAAAAGAAAACCAAAGAGAAAGGGGGAGAGGGGGAAGGTAGAAGAGACAGGGAGAAACGAAAATAAAATGAAAAAAAAAAAGAAGAAGAAAAAAGAAAAATAAACAGCTGATCTATGAGCCGGAGAAAGCAACATGATGTCACGCAGAAAGTACTGATTCTCCAAGCAGAATGTGGAGTAAAGGTATTAAAGAAAGTTTCTGAGTGCGTATCTTTAACAAACATGGTTAAAAAAGCACATATTGTAAGAAACAAAACAAAAAATTGAAAGCAAAGCTAATTAATATAAAAGCAATCTATATGAAACCCGCAAAAATATAACTAAAGAAAAACCACAAGAAAAAGATTTATCTATCCAAATGTACTATTGAAATTCTGGAATTGGTGGTTGTTACGGACATTATTTAACAACAGAAATGTGGTGCTTTGGGCATCAAACGTTACGTTAAGTTTGAGTGTGTTTCATCGCTTGGACTTTGCCTCTCCCCAACCTTGAGCCCTTACACGAAACACTCCCGTCCCACCCAACCAAGCATTTCCCAAAGGCCGTTCCTGAATTTCTGTCTGCATCTGTCTTCCCATGTAACGGACGTTGCCCTCACATCTACCTCTGCACTCTGCGGAGACACAGTCCTGACGCCGTCACCTTGGACAGGGATATGACGGCCCCACCCACATCCAGCCCGACTTCCCAAGCACAGTCAGTGCTGGTCCTGCTGCCCTCCTCCCGGCACAGCTCTCCCAGGACCAGCGTGGCAGCATGGGGCACCGACTCCTCCAGGGAATAAACAGGGCAACGAGCTGCTTGTGACAGGCTGGCAGAAAGGCCGAGAAAATCACACCTGTGATGCTGACCTCCCCTAAGAGAGTGTGGCCTCATATCTCACTGTAGTAACAAAGTGGACTCATTTATAAGCGAAAGTCATCACACAGGGGGAGTCTCTCCAGTGCTGCAAGTTCTAAACAGCCATCTACTCGGGCAGACACCCGATTTCATGGCATCAGCCCCTGAGCTGTTATCTGGACAACAAAACAGAACACGAGCAGGCTCTCCAGATGCCTCACCACAGAGCTCCACGTGAGGGCTGACCGCACCAGGATCCGCCTCAGCTGAAGCGGAGCGACCACATCTCAGAACTGCACACATTCTGGATTTATCTTGCGATACCGTTTACCTCTCACTAGGGGGTGCTCTCTGGAGTCCTGGGGAAACTTCCTGAAACATGCTGAATTTGCAGCGCAAGGGCTGTGTTTTCCCCGAGTAAGCCAGACCTGGGATACTTTGCTGTGATGTTAAACAGAACTGCTCCGTATCCCATGCCGTTAGGTGACACTTAAGTCTGAGACCCTGTCAGAGAAAGGTGACCTCTTCCATCAGCTGCTCCTAACAGCACCTGATGTGCCCCCTGTGAGAATCAGCGACATATAGGAAGCTGGGCCCTCCTGTGCTGTCACTGTCAGGGTGTACGTTTGTTTGTTATGAGCTCTGGCCTACACTTTCTCTAAAAATCCTATATAATAAAAGGCTAATACGCAAATCAACCGAGCGGCAGAACAACCAGCTGCTATGACGTGCACTGACCACCAGGGGGCAGACACTCAATGCAACACGCACCTGCAAACAAAGTCACTAGGTTGCTGAGGACGTGGGCGATGCAATACAAGGATGTCTTTAAACAGGATGCAGGCCATGAATTCAGCATCCGCACCCCTGACTACCCAGTGGATTGCGTCACAGTGAAAGAGGCGACTGGCAGTTTGCAGCTCAGAATAAACTTCGATGCCTCATGCAGACCTTGAGCAGAAGAAAAGACCAGAGAAATCTCCCTGGCAGTAAAAGGCACAATTCTAAAAACGTACGGCGGGAGCCAAATGTAAGTCAATCGAAGAATGTGCCATTTTGCAAACAATTTTTAATGCAAGGACTTTGAAAGGAAATTGGCAGATTCTCTCTCTCTCCCCTCATGACTAACACTGGAGAATTTATGTAGGTTCTCCCTCAGCATTGCTACTCACTCACTGGCTCCAGCACCCCTTGCTGCCCTGCCACTGCTCCCCACTGAGCACCCTGAGGGCCTCAGGACCGACCAGCACACCGACCTTCTCCATCTCCATGTGGCCTCACTGGCTGTGGCACCTGTGACACTCAGATTCAAGCATTTGTCCACCAAACACATATTTCCAACTTTGGCTGGATCTCCAGATGAACAAGCTGCTAATCGCCAATAAATACCAAACCGAACTTAACCTCTTCCTGAAACTGGCCCTTCTGAAACTCCTCCAGGGTGCCAGCGACACAACAGTGCCGACTGCACAGCCTGGCACCTCAGCACCGCGCTGGCCTGCCTTTCGACTTGCCTGATTGGCTGTCTCTCTCTGTGTCTCTCACACCCAGCCCCTCTTCCCATTCATTCACACAGGGCTCTACACCCCAGCACTTCATACGTGTCCCACCTCCATGCATCACCCTTATTACATGGTGAGCTCCAAATGTCTGCATCATTCAGCCGTATTTCTGAGTTCATTACAATTAAGGACTGTGTCTTTGCATATCCCTGGGTTAGGACAGCACCATATCCAGGGCCAGGACAGCACCGCGTCCCGGGCAGGCATTCAAGAGTCTCTGCAGAAGGAGCCCAAGGGGCCCCGCACTGGAAGTGACACTTGTGTTACGGGGCCTCCACCACCTGTGTGGCCCAGCCCACCCTTCCACTCCCCTGCTCCTGCCAAAAGCACCGGGTGGTCATTCTGCCCTGGAAGAGGCTCAGTGCCTTCTTAGTGCTGATCAATTAAGTGAAAACATTAATGAAAATTCAAAATATGGAAGATGTCAATGACAACAGTTAATGCCAATGACAACATTCCACAGTGAATCCACATTCCCTGACCTGCCCTGGTACCAGATGGAGACGCTGCTCTGGCTCACTTGGGGAGGGTAGGTCAGCCAGGACTAGGGCCCTGTGGTCCGTGAGCAGTTCTGGGAGTAAGACTGACAATTGCACGGAGGCAGCAGACAGAGCAGGCGAGGGGGAGAAGCGGCATGTGTACAAGTCTCTGTATTGTTCCTGTGTCCTCTGATTCCTTTGTCTCCTGATTTATGTAACTGAGCAGCATCTGTATGACCGATGCCCTAGGGAACACCCTGTGTGTGACAAAGGCTGACTGGGCCCAGGGAGGACAGGGACACTCTGCAGTGGCCCTGGGGGCACGGGTCAGTGGGAACTTGGTGCTCTGTGAGCACTCACTGTCCAGGGGGACCTGGGCCCAGTTGCTGAGGAAGGCCTGTGAGGTGAGTGGACGCCCCTTAGGACATATTCATTGTACATCAGATTTATCAACACTGCGGGTAGATTTTTATTTGACTGAGTTTTGGGACATTTTAATGCTATTGCAATCCTCTATCACACGACTGGAAAATAGATAATGTATCTGAGTAAAGACATGAGTTTAAAATTTCATTCAAGTCCCCATTCCCAATGTCACTAATGCAGAAGTCTAATTCGTCACCCTCTGTACTCAATCGCACCTCCTCTATCCGACAGGCTGGCACGGCACTGCCATCCAGCATATCATTAATGCCGAGCCCAAGGAAAGCCCGTGCCTGCTTCGTCTGGGTGAGGCATGTCCAGGAAAGTGTTTCCGCTGCGGCTAGAGCTGGACCCTGCCCAGACAGCGCAGCGACGAGGAAAAGGCTCCCTCACTCAAGCTTCTCATGTGCACGTTCTGGGAGAATTCTGGGTCCACGCTGGAAACCCCAGGGCAACCACCAGTAAATCTATGACGAATACTTTGATTTAAACGAAAATGAGAAAGTGTTGCTACCATGCCAGCTAGAGCAGGGCAAGGGGAATGCTCGGAAAGGCTGCACTGCCTTCACTTTCTTCCAGGAGTTGACATTGTTTTTTTTTAATATTTAAAATTATAACTTTTGTAAACGGGATTTTGCCCTCCTAAAAAATTAACGTAGGTAAAAATATGAGATCGGAACGAATTTTAATAAATTAATGTTAAAAGCACCATCTTTCCAACCTCCTAATACAGGGTCGCTCTCCAGCCTCCACCTGCGAATTGTGTGGGTATTTTAGTCCTTCCATTCAGCAGCGAATACAGAAAACCTCACTGTCTAGATCACATGGATTAACCTGCAGAAACCCTCATCCCCGGGGTCTGAGAGCAGGTGGACGGCCGGGCAGAGGCACTGACACAGCTGCTCAGGCCAGCGCTCCTTCCCCAGGGCGCGCCCCGCTCCGCCCCGCCCCCCAACAGTCTGCGTGCACAGCTGTTTACCTTGTCACCATTTCCTTCTCCTTGTTTGACGCATGTCCTCCAGAACACAGCGGTCTGCTCGCTGCAGACAGGAAGTATAAACGATGGTTTTTGAAATACTGATCAATTAGAGGCAGGACAACCTGAAAGGAAGGAAAAGAAGACAGGTGTACACAGTGGAGTCTGGGGGGTGAGTGAGTGCTGAGGCTGGAGCAGGCAGACCATGTCCACATGCAACAGGTCCCAATCCCCGCAGCTGCAACAGCCCCCCACCAGGGAGTGGCTCTCACCTCGCCCTGCTCCTGCCAATTCCTGTGTGTGTGT